TTGTGTCAATACCTTTTAAGATATGTCAAAAGGGTAGTGCGCTGCCTAAGAAAGCTGGACTTAGAAGGGAGGCTAATCTGACTCCTCCGGCGATCAGGGATCTTACTGGTTATTGACCATAGGACTCATTAGTGACTCTCCCTTGACTGCAACCAATAGTGTAGAACCGGGGCGTCACAAAGCAAGACTTATAGTTAAAGGTTACAGACAAAAGGAAGGTCTGGACTATTTTGACACATATTCCCCTGTAACAAGAATAACATCCATTCGCATGCTTATTTCTATAGCAGCGTTGTTTAATATAGAAATACATCAAATGGATGTTAAGACAGTTTTCTTAAACGGTGATTTAAATGAAGAGATCTATATGGAGCAACTCGAAGGGTTTGTAGTATCAAGACAAGAAAAGAAAGTTTGTCGACTTGTAAAATCTCTTTATGGATTAAAACAAGTACCTAAGCAATGGCATGAAAAATTTGATTATGCAATGCTTACTAATGGATTTAAGATAAACGAATGTGACAAATGCGTCTATATTAAAAACACTGACCAAGGATATGTCATAGTTTGTCTTTATGTGGATGACATTCTTATCATTGGAAGCAGTCAAAACATTATCAAATTAACTAAGTAGATGCTTAACAAAAGATTTGATATGAAAGATATGGGGGTCGCAGATGTTATATTAGGAATGAAAATTACTAAAACATCTGACGGATATGCATTATCTCAATCACATTATATTGAGAAAATTCTTGATAAATTTATCAAGGATGATTTGAATTTAGCTAGAACACCTGTAGACATCAGTCTTTATTTATCGAAAAATAAAGGTGATGCAGTGTTTCAGTTAAAATACTCCCAAATCATTGGAAGCCTGATGTACCTAATGAATTGTACTCGTCCTAATATAGTTTATGCTATCAGTAAATTGAGTAGGTACACTAGTAACCCCGGAGAAGACCATTGGAAGTGATCATTCGGGTTCTTAGATATCTAAGATTCACCCGTGATCATGGCTTGAACTTTACTCGATATCCAGCAGTACTTGAAGGTTTTTGTGATGCAAATTGGATATCGGATACTAAAGATTCAAAATCCACAAGTGGATATGTCTTTACTCTAGGAGGCGCTGCTGTTTCTTGGAAATCCACAAAACAAACATGCATCGCACGATCCACAATAGAATCCGAGTTCATTGCTTTAGACAAAGCAGGGGAAGAAGCCGAATGGCTTCGTCACTTCTTAGAAGACATTCCAATGTGGCCAAAACCTGTGCCAGCTATTTGCATTCAGTGTGATAGTCAATCTGCAATAGGCAGGGCACAGAATCATATGTATAACGGTAAGTCACGACATATTCGTCGTCGATATAATACCGTTAGGCAGTTGTTGTCAAATGGAATAATCTCTATAGATTATATAAAATCTAAAGAGAATATTGTGGATCCGTTAACAAAAGGTTTGACAAAAGAGCTAGTGTATAGTTCATCGAAGGGGATGGGATTAAAGCCTATTACATAAGAGTCGTCATAATGGTAACCTTACTTATATGACTGGAGATCCCAAGAACTAAATTCAAAGGGACAACTAAGTTGTGTATGGCTCACCAGAAATCACCAAGGGATTAAAAATTCCCTACCCACTCCTATGGTGAGAGTGATATCTGCAACATATGTTGTATGCAGAGGCATAAGGATAAGCTTTGCTTTTAATGATTACTTATATCTTGATTGAGGCATAAATCAAGACGAGTATAAGGAGATATTCACAATAAGAATCACCTATATGAGTGTTGAACTGGGGCCGGTTCTATGAGAATGAAGAGGCTAAATTCTCTACAAACACTTATGAAAACCAGGCGCGTTCAAGGCCAAAATGAACACAACAGTGAGAACCACGATGTGTTAGAAGATATTTTGTGTGAAATCTATTGTCTTGACTTACACAAACGGCTGAACAATTCAAGACATCGCGTCCATTGGTTAGCCAGTAAGTCCGATAGGTTATCACTAGGGAAGGTTCAAGGCCGAAAGCTACCTATCTTGATGCAAGATATTTTCGACTTATACTCTTTCGATAAAGTTTGCATATTGTTACATTTCCGTTGTCATTAAATTCCATTCATGTGGGGGATTGTTAGAAATGGTTATAAAATTCTGGATAAAACCAGAATTTTTTTCCTAAGTTTGGTCTATTTTTTAGGTGGGCTCCGTGCATCGATTTTCACGGGTCAAAGTGGTAACGCGTTCTATGCCGCGTTGTAATTCATGTGGTATTTTTGGTTGCTCAAAACCATTACCGAGTGAATGGGAAATTGAAGCCAAAGTGTGCTCCATAGAAATGGAGTTTTGGTGGAAATTCCTTAAGGTTGTAAAATGTCTTGTCTCACATTGATTTGGTGGGAAGTTTTGAATGGGTTTATAAGGCTTAGGTTTGGTACTTGGGGTGTGCCCCAAGGTGTACCCAAGTGTTTTAGAGGGAGAGGTTATGGGCAAAATGGACTAGACCCATTGGACCCAAAAACCACACGCGCGCGCGTGCACCGCCGCCACCGTTCGTCCGGGCGGGCTAGGCTGGGCCTAGGCTTGGGCACGGGTGCGTGGTGTGTGGTTGGGTTAGGCTTGTTCGGCCCAATATTAATCTTTTTGGGCCAAAAACATTTGAGTTTACTTTATTTATTTTGAAATAAAATATGTCCGCTTTTATTTCAAAATTCTGGGATGAAATTAAATTCAAATTTTGTAATGTACCTCTCTACAAAATTCTGTCCAAACCACATACAAATTTCAAATCTGTTTAATTTTCAAATTCAAACAGATTCGGTTATCTATCCCGGCGAGCTGGCCCTTGGCTTGGGCACGGGTGCATGGTTTGTGGTTGGGTTAGGCTTGTTCGGCCCAATACTAATCTTTTTGGGCCAAAAACATTTGAGTTTACTTTATTTATTTTGAAATAAAATATGTCCGCTTTTATTTCAAAATTCTGGGATGAAATTAAATTCAAATTTTGTAATGTACCTCTCTACAAAATTCTGTCCAAACCACATACAAATTTCAAATCTGTTTAATTTTCAAATTCAAACAGATTCGGTTATCTATCCCGGCGAGCTGGCCCTTGGCTTGGGCACGGGTGCATGGTTTGTGGTTGGGTTAGGCTTGTTCGGCCCAATACTAATCTTTTTGGGCCAAAAACATTTGAGTTTACTTTATTTATTTTGAAATAAAATATGTCCGCTTTTATTTCAAAATTCTGGGATGAAATTAAATTCAAATTTTGTAATGTACCTCTCTACAAAATTCTGTCCAAACCACATACAAATTTCAAATCTGTTTAATTTTCAAATTCAAACAGATTCGGTTATCTATCCCGGCGAGCTGGCCCTTGGCTTGGGCACGGGTGCATGGTTTGTGGTTGGGTTAGGCTTGTTCGGCCCAATACTAATCTTTTTGGGCCAAAAACATTTGAGTTTACTTTATTTATTTTGAAATAAAATATGTCCGCTTTTATTTCAAAATTCTGGGATGAAATTAAATTCAAATTTTGTAATGTACCTCTCTACAAAATTCTGTCCAAACCACATACAAATTTCAAATCTGTTTAATTTTCAAATTCAAACAGATTCGGTTATCTATCCCGGCGAGCTGGCCCTTGGCTTGGGCACGGGTGCATGGTTTGTGGTTGGGTTAGGCTTGTTCGGCCCAATACTAATCTTTTTGGGCCAAAAACATTTGAGTTTACTTTATTTATTTTGAAATAAAATATGTCCGCTTTTATTTCAAAATTCTGGGATGAAATTAAATTCAAATTTTGTAATGTACCTCTCTACAAAATTCTGTCCAAACCACATACAAATTTCAAATCTGTTTAATTTTCAAATTCAAACAGATTCGGTTATCTATCCCGGCGAGCTGGCCCTTGGCTTGGGCACGGGTGCATGGTTTGTGGTTGGGTTAGGCTTGTTCGGCCCAATACTAATCTTTTTGGGCCAAAAACATTTGAGTTTACTTTATTTATTTTGAAATAAAATATGTCCGCTTTTATTTCAAAATTCTGGGATGAAATTAAATTCAAATCCAGAATCTGATCAATCAACCCAGCAATGGAGTGATATTACAGAATGAATATCACCCACACAAGTCACAGTGCAAAATGGCTCTTGATCGTTGTATTTTGAGAGAGAGTCAATATATGGAAAAAACATACGACATATGTTGTTTTTCTCCTAATCACCCATATCCCATATCATATTAGATATATAGGATAATATCTTATCTATCCATATCAGTTGATATGATAGATATGGATATCCTGAGTGGTTATCCAAGTAAGTTTTGAATTCAAATTCAAACTTACATGGATAAGGTTCAAAGAGTCATGCCACATGAGCGCTCAATTTCTAACATCTCCTACTCGGACATGAGTTGGCATGACACTGCCACATCTCTATCTCAATCTCCCCAAAAAATGAACAATCTCATACTAGCCACTGCACCGTGCGACTGCTAAGAACACCTATATGTGGGAGCTCTATACTAGAAACTCAAAATGAGCCAACATAGAGACATCAACCCAAAAAGAACAGAAATAGTGTCTCATATACCCCAGACCCATCCAAGTACACCGGTCCAAAAAACATCTCTAATCCCTCAAAAAGAGCATGTTTGACCCTCTCAATTCTTACAATATATTCACAATTAATCCGCCTCTCATATAGAGCGATGTGAGTTACCGGCAGTGAATACACAACAGTGGTGTAATACTAGATGATCTTCCCTTTGCACTCATGCCATTTAGTTTAGGATTGACCGCTTTCCCAGTGATGTCCCTTAAGGCTGAATCATGCATGACCGCATGCAACATACCAAAGTAGCAGAACATCAACCCTTTACCTTATGACATAGTCAAAAGTCAAAAAAGGGTACATAAATGAAAGTCATATCAATAATGACACGTAAGACTCACACGGTGAGGAAATAGGGATTCTTTTTGGTCAATCATTACTCGGTCGCCAAGCACATATAGTATGAATGTTTAGCCTCACCAGTCCAATAAGTTTTGACAGCAAGAAGAATTTTCTCAGGGTTAAATGGTCCGCTTTCATGGTCCATAATCTGGCTCTTCCATCTCATTCCATCTGTTATACTTTTAATCTTCACAAGAACCTCTACCACATCTCTAAATATTACTGTCCCTTCTGGTCGCAGGATTCTATCCATCTCTAGCAGAATATTTGTAATGTCGCACCTTTCAATAAAAAATAAAATCAACTCAACTCAAATCAAATCAAGAAAGAAAAAAAAATAATAATGTCGATCATCAGAGAGATCACAGATAAAAAATGGATGGATGGATTTTATCATGTTATGTATGTAGTAGTATGTACCTATCCTGGTAAATACTGAAGACACCAGCTGCATGGATAAGATCATATGTTCGTGGATAGGTTGAAAATGCCTCGCACCAATCATGATAGGTCCCAATGAAACCCCGTTCATAGATGAGTCCAAGAGTGTCGTGATCTGAACTTGAATCGGCAGGGACAACATTCATTACCCACACAGGATATTTGGTTAGGGCTGCTGCAAATCCTCCTAGGTATGCATTCATGTCCATCACATTCCTGTATCGTCCTTGAGGTAAGGCGCCAATGATACGCTTGTAGTGTGCCACCCTCTCTTTCCACACCTCATTATCCTCATGGAATTTCTCTACAGTAATCCCACTTCCACTAGATATTGGTGTCAGCCACAAACCTCTCTAAAGATATTTTGGTGACCAATTTTTGTTCATTCTTAGTGCGCCCAACTAGCACAGATGCGCCCAACTAGCGCATTGAATCTTACAAGGAGCAAATTAATATAGTACTAGTAAAGCAATTTTATCCACAGTCTAATGAGCAAGGTCAATGTCTAAACAACTCAGTTGACCATTTACCAAAGATAACACTTATTGTGCCGAATACGCCCACATAGCGTACTTTAGGCTCCCAGAACAAAGAAGATCAAAGAATATAGGTCAACTGTTTCTCCCAAAGACAATCTGAGGATTCACTACAATCCGAGGATTCACTTAGTAGCAAAGGCTCTGGCTTTTACCGATAGGTAAGTCAATGGATTTGCAATTTTGCATCTAAAATTATTCTAGGATATTCTTTATGTAAGTCATCGAAGACAAACTGAGAATTTTCTTAAAACAATCCCTAAGGATTGTACATTCAAGCATATAAATTACATCACCCATGTCCATCATATCTAAAATAGAGGACTACCCACCCTAAGTGGCGACAACCTTATAAATTCCTGGCTCATAATGACTAAGTAAGGAAAAACTTTTTTTGGACTATTGATCATGCCTCAGTGGTCTTCATCGAACATCGTTGGCCTATCATGGCTTGGCGAAATCTAAGAACCACTATTTGGATAACTGTTTTAGGCTGTAAAAGATTTATTAGAACTAGCAACCTTTTTGCGCTCCTAACTTTTCACCATAAAAACAGAAGGTAAATCCCTACGGATCTACTTATCCAATTCTCTAACGAGAAAGTTAGGTCATAATGTCCACAAATCAATGTTCCGAACTTATGTCAATCATACCCTAAGTCAAAATAACATCACTCCCTAGGAGGAAGTCTTCTCATGGTCTACACTTTCCTCAATGGTGCGACTTTTCGATATCTAGCGAGCCTTATGCCTCAACAATGACTATCCAATTTACGCATAACTTTAGAATAGTTTCACATCATAATGGAAAGTCAACCAAATTATAGAAATGGTTAATCCTCAAAGACTTTGTCTTAAACTGCGTAACATTAATCCACTTTCTAAAAACAGGGGACTAGAGCCTTTGGCATTATCCTAGGCTCTTTATCATCTTGCGGAGCAATCATGAATGTTTCCCTCTCAATCACCCAGTGATGACGTGAAAAATTTTCATATTTGCTACCACGCAACTAAGAATGTAGAGTATTCTTCTCTAATCGAGTAATCCATTAGTAGGCACATCGCTCCCACTGTCCCTAGGATATTGGAAATTTCTTTCCATTCTCAACTAGGCTACATAGAGCACTATGCTTAGAATTCTCTATCTTATAGAGTTCCAAAAACTCTATTTACGTCACCTTTACTAAGAAAACTTTATGTGACTTAGTTACACTCCCACAAAGCTGCTTACCTATATGCACATGACCCGGAGGGTTTACATGACAGCATACAATAATGCGCCTCATGACCCTATGTGTTTACAAGACAGCATACAATAATGCGCTATAGAACTCTAGGTCTTAACTTCGCAACCTTATGAGAAGTAAAAATAAAGATAAGCTGCTTAATAGTTACAGATCGCCCATAGATGGCTCTCCACTAACCCATGACATAAATGGAGTGTAAGAAATTGATATGGAGGGCATTTAGTTAGGGATATAGGCAACAAACTAAAGTGTAATTCCCAATTGGGAAATATTTTGCGCCATTATCCACCTAACATTAACAATACTTAATTCCTTATCTCTACTACACCATTATGTTATTGAGTATTTAGGAATAATCAATTTTCTAAGCATTCATTTCTCTTCACAGAGTTTTTTCTAAAATAACTCAAATAGATACTCTCCACCTTGGTCAAAACTAAAAGCACGGAAGATGTTATCTAATTGATCTCAACCTCATATGTGCAATGTCAAAAATCATCTCAAAACTTTTGACTTATGGGAGATCAAATAGTTTTGGCTCAGATGCGTATCGTAATCTATAAATGTGTAGAGATTGAGGCTTAGCTATCATACCCTTACACATATCTAGTCACAAATATCATAGTGGACTAAATGCGCCAAAACAAATGACCTTCTATGGCTTTCCTACTTACTTGTGCGCACCCATTGCGAACAAAGTTACACATTCACATGAGAGCAGGATGTCACAAGCGAATGGGCCCGAGAAAGCCTACTCAAACCATCGTGTCATCATCTCAATAATGTGATTAAGTATAACAAACCACGGGTTTATGACCAATGTCATAAACTAATTCCAATCATCCTAATGTGTAAGTTCTTGAAGACAAGTTTTAAAGGTTTAGGCCCAACTAGGTAATGACTCACGACTAATTCATATTCACTAGATCATAAAAGGATGTCATGGAGATATCAAGTGTACCTAAGTCGCAAATTTAACTAGTAAGTGCTAATCCCCTGCACCTTCAAGTCAATTTTATTTTCCATACACTTTACTGCATCTAGTTGAAAGATGACGATACTCCTCTTGCTATCTCTGTTTCTCGCTTCATAGTTACTTGCAATTAATTCTACTATCCACAAGTATGAGAGAATAAGCTATCAATCTATGACAGCTCCTGAAGTAACTTAAGCGCGAATTAGGCTAAAGAGTCTAATTCAACACAATACTCTCACAAGCCATGCGTCAAATTCTTAGAGTCATAACAACCTTGTCGGCCTTGACCTTTTCATTATTATGCTGCAACGTTTGCGCTTAGTGGTAAACGTTATTCAAAAATGTTAGCCTAGCTAAGGAATCATACAAAGAAGCCCCTCCTCATGTCTCACACTCAAGTGTGGAAACGGGTAAGTGTCCAGACTTAGACAAGTTGGCAATGCTAATAGATTTTGCGGCCACTAAATGCTAATCTTTTCACTTAGTGTTAATAGATTTTGCAGCTTCTAAGCGCTAATCTTTTAACTTCACGTGATATTTCAACGCACACTATTATAGTGCATGAAATTTTGCTCCATCCACTCCCAATAATTGGGTAAAGAGCAAAACACTGCTCATACTGGCTACTCGTCTTATACTTAATGACTAATTTATTTAAGCTCGCATTTCTTGGATGACGTGACTCTTGAATGTTACTTCATCTAATGATGTAACATTATTTACAAGTCAAATTACAAAGTCAATCCGCGCAGCTCAATAGTCAAGATCATATACAGATCTATTGGGGGCTTACTAAATTCATAACTCGAAAACTCGCCAACCAAAACTACGCAGCGTGCCGCTAACCATAGTGCACACATTAGTTTTTATTATGCCAAACAGGCAACAAAACCACGGTGACTTTGAGTCATGTTTCCTTACTTTGGCTTAATTAAGGTTTGACCTAAAGTCTCCAAGACTTTTGCTCATCTAAAGAATGGGATTACATTGTTCACATTTGAATATCTTTACTAAGTCTAGGTCAACCAATTAACTTCCACAAGCTAAGTCAATTTAGAGAGAAATTCGCATTGGGATTAATTTGATTAGCATAATATAATTTTGCCACAAAAATCTAAATTAAATAGTGACAATATTACACAAGCCGCAAGATCGAAAATCCGCTATATTCGTAATCATCTCTTGCGCCATAGGTGACAATTATCCAAAATTTAATTTAATTTATGCGCAAAATATTAGTTTTCGGGAGTTAATCTACAAAGATTTCTCTTAACCGAATAACCTCCCACTGATTATGGCATGTCTAAAAGCATGATAAAAAATTCTAATTCCATACAATTGCATCATAATGTAGATTCACAACCAACTCATGCTATGTCACAATTAATAATGGAATTTAAACAAATAACAATTAATCATGCTATTTTAATCACAACATATTAGAAACTCTAGGTAAAAAAATAACAATATGCTATATTTAATATTCAAATTATGCCATAACAGAAACTATATCACTTCTGAAATCTTTTAAAATTTTCTAAAATTTTAAATAACTAATAAACACATATAAAATTAGAAATAAATATTCCAGAATCTCGTAAAAAGCTATAACTATACCCTTAAATAGAAAACTACAACAGTAGTCTACAATAAAAAATTCAGCCCCATAAACTTAATCATGCAACACCAGATGCATTTTAAACCAGAAATAATGAATTATTATTTCAGAAAAAATATTTTTTATTTTTATAAAATTTTCAAAATTTTACAGAAGATAAAAAATTTAATTCTGAGTCTAACGGTACCAACCACGCTTAAAACAAAGGTATAACGAATTACTTATGACCATTTAACGTAATTCTGAATTTTAAAGAAAACAAACAGACCCTTAACCACAGCCGTCAAACCAGCCAAGCCGGCGCGGAAAACGGCGCGGCTCGGCTCGGAGAGCGGCTCAGTGCGTGTCTCAGCGCTCGGCGCGCGCGTGGGCAGCGCAGATGGCGCACGTGTGGCAGCGCGTCTCAGCGCGTGGAGACGCATGAGAGCGCGTGGTCGCTGCTGACGGCGTCATCTGGAGCGTGAGGCACACCCGCCGCCTTCCGGGGTGTTTTCTGGTCCGATTTCGGTACTCCCGAACTCCATTTTTCACAACAAAAACATTTATGGCATCAAAAATCACATTTAATGAACATAAAAATGAGGTGTACCACACTCTCAATCTAATGGGAGATGAAATCTTCCTCCTCTATAAACATTCATGTATATAATGTGTACATATATATATAAAAAATATACACATGATTAGAGAAAACACGAAAATATCCATTCAGGCTCTGATACCAATGTAGATCAAAGTATAAACGCAGCGGATGAAAAATTATAGTAATACCTTATTCTGCAGAGTTTGAAGTGAAGGATCTCGTGGGTAAATTACGTGCTTCCAGAATCTGATCAATCAACCCAGCAATGGAGTGATATTACAGAATGAATATCATCCACACAAGTCACAGTGCCAAATGGCTCTTGATCGTTGTATTTTGGGAGAGAGTCCGTATATGGGAAAAAC